CACGCTAGCAGAAGATTTGCTAGCAATATAGGCTGCCAATGACTCAGAAGTGGTGTCCGACGAAAGTCGAGACACAAAAACTTGCCTACGAGGGGCAACTACCGTTAAAGTAGGCGCTGATGGGGCTGTAGGTAATACAGGAGTTGGAGGACCTAAAGAGGCACAATGATTGTTTTTAACAATCTGGGCAAGATTGCGCGCAGGTCTACCTTTGCGGCCAGGAGCTGACGGGGCTGAGGCAGTTTGATTAATTGGGACGGGATCAGGTACGGGCTCTACTAGGACTAGTACAGGGGTTGAAACAGGGGTAATTGGACAGTCGCTTGGAGAAGGCGACAAAGACAACATTGGAGATACCTGCAAGTTGCTAGGAAGGGACAAGAAAGTCGAAGGTGTCTGAACAGACGTAGAGGGCAATTGCAAAAGTTGAGGCTCCAACCGGCGATTGGTTGGGGACTCAAATTTATATTTGCCAAGCAACTCGAAACTCGTGTCAAAATTACTCGAGAGCTGCTTAGCCACATTATTTAATTTTAAGAATTGACTTCTCACAGAATTATACATTCTGGAGAAATCAATTTGCTTGTCGATGCATTCTGGGCACGACCAACGCAAGCCACCGCAGCCCTTCTTGGCAATACCAGCGATCTTGTCATAATCACGCCCAGTGAGACCTGCACATTTAGCATGCATCATATTCTCACACAGCCAGCAATTAACAAATTGCGGCAGTGCAGGATCGTCAGCCTGCATGAACGTGCACGGTTCTTACAGCACGACATAATTATTAAATGCGTAGGCAACTTGCGAGAGCGCAGAGCACAACGAAAACGGTGCACAAGATAGAGCAAGTAAACACTCAAAAAACAATTATTCGTACACGAACAAATTGTTTGGTGCGAAAAGCAATAGAAAAAAATTTGCGAGAGCGCGATGCACAAGCAGAAAGTATGCAGCGAACACACGCACAAACAAGTGTATGCACAGGGTAGCACCAAGGCAGAAGAATGAAAACAGGCAATAACAACAAACACGGAACTGACGCCGGGTTTTATAAAATGCAATAATTAACAGACTTACGCTGCACAACAGATAACACTTTGCACAGTTTATAGAAGCTTTTTAAATAAAGCACCGAAAAATGCAAAATTTTGAAATAAAAAGCAGGATAAAAGCGCAAAAATATATAAAAATCATGGAGCACAAGTAAAACACGTCAATCACTCAACTGAGAACTCTCTCTCGCATAGAAGGAGACATCTCCGACCCCATAAAGTATATATATTCTTTATCAGCATCAACAGCCGAGTCGATATAGCCATGTCCGTCTGTCCGTCTGTCTGTTTCTATGCGAACTAGTCCCTCAGTTTTAAGGCTATCTTAATGAAACTTTTCAGAATTCCCTCTTTCTGTTGCACGCAACACATATGTGAAAACCAGCTGGATCGGACCACTATATCATATAGCTGCCATAAGAACGATCGGTCGAAAATTAAGTTTTTGTATGAAAAAACATTTTGTTTTTCAAGATATCTTGACCAAACTCGGCATTTATTAGTTTTACTTTACTCCTCATATATATGCAAAATCCTATTAATATCGGACCACTATATCATATAGCTGCCATAGGATCGGTCGGTCGAAAATAAAGTTTTTGTATGCAAAAACATTTTGTATTTCAAGATATCTTGACCAAACTCGGCATTTATTAGTTTTACTTTACTCTTCATATATATGCAAAATCCTATTAAGATCGGACCACTATATCATATAGCTGCCATAGGAACGATCGGTCGAAAATTAAGTCGTATGAAAAAACATTTTGATTATCAAGATATCTATATTTATTTATACTTATTTATTAATGCTCGACAAAACGAGTGTCTTCCTCATTATTCAACAGGTTGTACAATATAAGTATATTCTAAAAGCCTAGTTAAAGGATACAATTTTCTAAATAGCATCACCGACCGATGGAGGTGTTTTATTTGCCAGTCCGGCCAGCTGTGCCCCTTTTCACAGCTAATTTTGTCAGTGACGCTATTAGAGCCTACATCTAAGCAGAAGGTTGTAAGTAGGAAAAAAGTGATCTCAAGTGAAATTAAAAATAATCTTAATTTGCTAAATTAATAAAGAAAATACAATAAATAGGAAAAAAGAAAGTAAGAAAATTGTTAATAAAGTAAAGCAATGTAAGTTAGATAAAGAGTGTTAAGTGGATAGGACAAAGAGAAAAGTATTGGGAAATCACCGACACGGTGGGGGAAAATTTTTCAGCCTGTCCGGCTAGCTATGCCCCTGCTCATAGCTGGGAATGGTCAGCGACTTCCCGAAGGTATCCTGAAAGCAACGATTTTATTAGGGGTAGAGACAGTTCGGTAGAGAAAACGTGATGCAAACTATTATAATTTTTACATAGCACGCGAAAAGAATTGTGCATAGCGTAATCAGTTGTGCACGTAGATAGTAATAAGGGGCGATAATTTCTGGTTGGTCTAGCCGGAACAGAGAATTGAAGACGCCCTAGCAGAAAAGGAGAATCAATGTCGCCAATAATCAACTTATGTAGAAGGACAACACCGAGAATTGTCCTACGGTTGATTAACGACGGAAGGTTGAGAAGAAGCAGTCTGCTGGAGTAGGACGGCAACCGAAGATTAGGGTCCCAATTTAAACCTCGTAAGGCAAAAAGCAGAAATTGCTTCTGAACAGATTCAATACGATCCTGGCTGTTGATATACTGTGGAGACCAGATGCAAGAGCAGTATTCAAGGATAGGGCGAACAAGAGAGATGTACAGAAGTTTTGTTATAAAAGGATCGTTAAACTCTTTAGACCATCGTTTAATGAATCCAAGTACACCTTTTGCCTCATTAACAATGGTATCTATATGAAGATTGAAACAGAGTTTAGAATCAAAAATAACGCCTAGATCCTTAACTGTTAGTATACGTTGCAAAGGGATATTGTCGATTGTATAACTAACAAGATAAGGTGTAGTACGATTAAAAGTCATAAACATACACTTTGAACAATTTAGATGCAATTGATTGGCCGAACACCAAAGTTGCATAGCGTTCAAATCGTCTTGTAGACGAGAATGATGTAGGGGGTTAGTGTATGATAGAAAAAGTTTGACATCGTCCGCATACATGAGTACACGGGCATGTGATATAACAGAAGGAAGATCATTTATAAAAAGTGTAAAGAGTAAAGGTCCAAGATGACTACCTTGAGGAACACCAGAAGTAACGTGAACCCTTTTAGAGGTAGTCAACCTCAGTATTACTTTAATTCTTTAAATAAGAATTAATCCAAAGTAAAAGGGACAGAGGGAAACCTATTCGGTCAAGTTTAAAAAGTAAAATGTCATGGTGCACAGAGTCAAACGCCTTGCTGAAGTCAGTGTAAATGACATCAGTTTGCATTTTCGAAAGGAAAGCATCATTTACCAAGGAAGTAAACTCAAGCAGATTGGTCGTAGTTGACCGATTCTTTACGAATCCATGTTGAACAGGGGAAACAACTGATTTGCAGAAATGCTGCAAATTCGAAGTGATTATTTTTTCAAATAATTTAGGAATAGCAGACAGTTTTGCAATGCCCCTGTAATTTTGTATATCAGACTTCCCACCTTTCTTGTGAAGAGGAATGATATAAGATTCTTTCCAAAGAGATGGAAAGACAGAAGTTTCAAGGGATAGATTAAAAAGCTTTAGCAATGGATAGAAAAGGGAAGAACTGCACTCCTTGAGTAGACAACTAGGAATATTGTCCGGCCCAGGAGAGTAAGAAGATTTTAGAGATTTTATAGCTAATAGGAGAGAGGAGTGTGAAATAATGGGGGGAGGTATAGAACTAGCGGAGGAAATAGTATAAGGGTAAGAATTAGTATTAGGACAGACTGAAGAGTAAGTTGATTGGAAAAAATTAGCAAAGAGGTTAGCAGAATCAGTGTCATTGCTAGCTTTATCCATCCCAAGAAAAAAAGAAGATGGCAAAGTTGAAGACTTACGCTTCAAGTTTACAAAATTATAAAACTGTCTCGGATTTCGGGCGAATTGCCTTTTACAACGAATTAGATAATTCTCATAGCATTGAGAATTAAGAAGAAAAAAGTTCGACTTGGCTATGGAATATTTAGCCAAGTCTGTACACGAACCAGACTTTTTAAACTTTTTAAAATATTTGACCAAACTCGGCATATACTATTTTCCCGGTACTTCTTAGATAGGGGCAAAGCACTATGAGCATTATGAAAAGGTTGGGTCTGCAAGGGTATTAGATCTTTGGCGTGCCGAAGATAGCGGTATTATTTGTTACTATTTGATATTACCTCAGGATGTGCTTTCTGGTTTAGTAATGCTGAATAGAGTATGGTATTGGTGTCGTTTTCGACTTGACTTTCGTCTCCGGCCTGTATATAAAATGACTTATGTAAATTTTCAATTTAGGTCATAGGAATCACTGTATTTGGTACATAAGTCAAGGAATCTTGATTTTAAATTGTTTAGGATATTTAAATTTAATTATGTCTTCATATGTTCTATTGCTTGTATTATTTTTATTTATTTTGATTTCATGTTCTTGTAGTGACCCAAATTTTATTTTTGTTGTATTTATTGTATTTATGTTTGCTTGTATTTAAAATACGGACTATGAAAGATACTTGATATATATATAATATTCTAGAAGCAACATATTATGTTTGGTAACTCTAGCTCTTATTATTTACCCAAATTGCTTAAAAAACAGTATGTCGATACGGACCTGAAATCGGAGACGCAAACTTTTAATTATTAAAATATTTTGATGAGAATGAGAATAACTACTTAAACAAAATATTAATAAACAAGTACCTAAATTTCATAATACATTTAGGTGACAATAGAGCATCATTCGCTCCTTTTTTAAAGATGGGAACCGTGAACTTATGGTGCGCTTTCGCTTCTTTAATTTTCATTTAATCTATAACTACAATTTTTCTGTTTATTTATCAGGTCAAAAGTTCATTGTCAAGATTTTCAAATTGGTAAAGTACTTGCATGATCGACTGGTTGCTGCACAAGAAAATCTTCTTGTTATCAAGGAAAGTATTAGAGCTTGGGGAAAGGTGCCACTGTTTCAGAGAAAAGATCTCAACCCGCAACTAATGCTTCACACGGATCCGCGAGATGTAATACTAATGGAGCGCGCTGAAAAAGCTGCGGTTACTCAACGGCTTATTGATCTTCTTATGTATGTGAACTTGAAGCTCTTTTTTGATATTCCTCGACGGTATACACTGCCTTCTGGAGAGGGAGGAGAAGAAGAAGATGATGGTGATGACATTTGGCCACCAGTTTTAAGTCTTTCTGCCATATCGAAAGTAGTCAAGTCGAAAAAGAAAAATGAAAAACATAAAAGTGAAAAACAAGAAGATAGAGAAGAAGAAGAACGTTCTGGAAGCGAAGAGGAAACCATAACGCCATTTCACAGGTTCGAGCTGCTTAAAGGCATTACTGAAGAAGAGCGAAACCTCTTTCGAGAGTATGAGAAATATGTAGACACTATTATTGCTCAGTGTCTGCTAGATAGTGTTATAACGAGCGTAACATATCTGCGGTTGGAGGTTGAAAATCGTTATGAAAACAACGCACCCATATTTGAAATTTTCATGGAGCTACAAGAGCCGATCGTTGTATATTTTCTAAATCTTGATCCAAATTCGAAGACAGGTTTTGTATTCTTTGCAGAAACTTTGTTGGATGATGTTTACGAAACAATGAATTTGTTATATCGCGTAGCACAAGATCCACCAGAAATCACCGAAGAGGACGCATTACGTTTTATGGGTAAGCAGGTCGCCTTCAATAAGCGTTATAATGGTTAATAATATTTAGAATTACTTCTTAATTAATGAGGAATATTGAGGAAATGATGAAAATTGACATTGGCGAGTACGTTAGGAGAGATTTATGGGTATTAGAAGTAGGTGAACAGTTATAACAAGTAAGAGTTTCTAGTCGGGAGCTCCCGACTAGGGGATACCCTGAACCCTCATCCTTCAACATCAAATGGATATATATATTTTATTTTAGAAGCTATATGTCAAGTTTGGTGACTCTAGCTCTTATTATTTACCAAAATTGCCCACAAAACAAGATATCGATATCGATTGCTTGGAAACGAAGTGAGTTCTCGATTATCAGAAATAAACTTGATCTGCGCGGGAACTAGAAGCACCTACATCTTAAATTTCAGTCTCTAGCTCTTATAGGTTCTGAGATCCTTGCGTTCATACATACGGACGGACTGACGGACGGACGGACGGACAGACAGACGGACATGGCTAGATCGACTCGGCTATTGATGCTGATCAAGAATATATATACTTTATGGGGTCAGAGATGCACCCATATAATATACCCTTATGCCCATTTTCAATGGGTTCAGGGTATATAAATAAATGTGCATTATTATCATTATTATAGTTATAATTATAGTTTATATTATAGTTTATATTATAATTTTTCTTATTATTTTATTGATAATTTCGAAAACCAAATTTTCATGCTCTTAGGATCATGCGATAAAGCAATTCATATGTCTACAAGGGTACAAATTCAGTGTACCGAAGTAAGGACTTACTCAGAACTCTTCATAATGTTAATTTGTTATAATTAGCCGCGATTTCATATTTATTCACTACAATTATTTAAAAGAAAACCGTTAAAACACGTCTTCATTAAGTTTTTATGTATAGCTTTAAAAGTAATTCAAAACGAGAAAGAAATGCTATCTTCGGCACACCGAAGATCTCATACCCTTGCAGACCCAACCTTTTCATATTGCTTATAGTGCTTATCTAAGAACAGGGAAAATAGTGAACACCGACTTTGGGCAAGATATCTTGATAAACAAAAACCTAGTTTGCGACCGATCGTTCCTATGGTATATATATGATATAGTAGTCTGATTTAAATAAGATTTTACAAAAATGAAAGGAGCATAGTGAAATCTTAAATGTCGTGTTTAATCAAAATATATTGAATTTTCTATACAGCTCACTTTTCGACCGATCGTTCCTATGGCAGCTATATGATATAGTGGTCTGATCTTATTTTGCGTTTATATGAAGAGCTTAGTAAAATTAATAAATGTCATGTTTGGTTAAGCTACCTAATAAATGCCCAGTTTAGTCAAGATATCTTGAAACACAATGTTTTTTCATACAAATTAATTTTCGACCGATTGTTGCTATGGTAGCTATATGATATAGTGGTCCGATCTTAATAGGATTTTTCCTTTATATGAGGAGTATAGTAAAACTAATAAATGCCGAGTTTGGTCAAGATATCTTGAAAAACAAAATATTTTTTCATATAACTTAATTTGGGACCGATCGTTCCTATGGCAGCTATATGATATAGTGGTCCAATCTTAATAGGATTTTGCATGTATATGAAAAACAAAATGTTTTTTCATACAACATCTTAGTTTTCGACCGATCGTTTCTATAATAGCTATATTTATTTATTTATTAATGGTCGACAAAACGAGTCCTCCTCATTATTTAATAGATTATACAATAGAATTATATGCTAAAACCCTAGTTAAAGAATACAATTTTCTAAATAGCATCACCGACCGATGGAGGTGTTTTAGTTGGCAGCTGTGCCCCTTTTCACAGCTGTTTTTGTCAGTGACGCTATCAGAGCCTTCCCGAAGGTATCCTGAAAGCAACGATTTTATTAGGGGTAGAGACAGTTCGGTAGAGAAAACGTGATGCAAACTATTATAAATTTTACATAGCACGTGAAAAGGATTGTGCATAGCGTAGTCTGTTGTGCACGTAGATAGGAATAAGGGGCGATAATTTCTGGTTGGTCTAGCCGGAACAGAGAATTGAAGACGTCCTAGCAGAAAAAGAGAATCTAAGTCGCCAATAATGAACTTATGTAGAAGGACAACACCGAGAATTGTCCTATGATTGGTTAACGACGGAAGGTTGAGAAGAAGCAGTCTGCTGGAGTAGGATGGCAACTGAAGATTAGGGTCCCAATTTAAACCTCGTAAAGCAAAAAGCAGAAATTGCTTCTGAACAGATTCAAAACGATCGTTTAATGAATCCAAGTACATCTTTTGTCTCATTAACAATGGTATCTTTGTGAAGATTGAAACAGAGTTTAGAATCAAAAATAACGCCTAGATCCTTAACTGTTAGTATACTTTGCAAAGGGATATTGTCGATTGTATAACTGGCAGGATAAGGTGTAGTACGATTAAAAACATAATGTCATAAACATACACTTTGAACAATTTCGATGCAATTGATTGGCCGAACACCAAAATTGCATAGCGTCCAAATCGTCTTGTAGACGAGAATGATGTAGGAAATTAGTGTATGATAGAAAAAGTTTGACATCGTCCGCATACATGAGTACACTGGCATGTGATATAGCAGAGGGGACATCATTTATAAAAAGAATAAAGAGTAAAGGTACAAGAAGACTACCTTGAAGAACACCAGAAGTAATGTGAACCCGTTTAGAGGTAGTCAGCCTCAGCATTGGGTCCTACCTTTTAAATAAGAATTAATCCAAAGTAAAAAAGACAGAGGGAAACCTATTCGGTCAGGTTGAAAAAGTAAATGACGTCAGTTTGCATTTTCGAAAGCATCGTTTACCAAGGAAATAAACTCAAGCAGATTGGTCGTAGTTGACCGATTCTTTACGAATCCATGTTGAACAGGGTAAACAACTGATTTGCAGAAATGCTGCAACTAAGAAGTAATTATTTTTTAAATAATTTAGGAATAGCGGACAGTTTTGCAATGCCCCTGAAATTTTATATATCAGACTTCCCACCTTTCTTGTGAAGAGGAATGATATAAGATTTTTCCAAAGAGATGGAAAGACAGAAGTTTCAAGGGATAGATTAAAAAGCTTTAGCAATGGATAAAGAAGGGAAGAACTACACTCCTTGAGTAGACAACTAGGAATATTGTCCGGCCCAGGAGAGTAAGAAGATTTTAAACAGTTTATAGCTAATAGGAGAGAGGAATGTGAAATAATGGGGGATGGTATAGAACTAGCGGAAGAAATAGTATAAGGGGCAGAATTAGTATTAGGACAGACTGAAGAGTAAGTTGATTGGAAAAAATTAGCAAAGAGGTTAGCAGAATCAGTGTCATTGCTTGCTTTATCCATCCCAAGAGAAAAAGAAGATGGCAAACTTGAAGATTTACGCTTCAAGCTTACAAAATTATATAACTTTGTCGGATTTTGGGCAAATTGCCTTTTACAACGAGCTGGATAATTCTCATAGCATTGAGAATTAAGAAGAAAGAAGTTCGACTTGGCTATGGAATATTTAGCCAAGTCTGTACACGAACCAGACTTTTTAAGCTTTTTCAAATATTTAGATCTTACATTTTATATATGTGATAATCTGGGAGTAAACCAGGGTAGTTTTGAAAAAGTAGTCGAAGGTATTGACTTAGGAATACAAACAACTAAGAGGGAGTTTAGGGTGATAAAAAAAAAATTAATGGGAGTATTCATATCAACCGAGCCATATAAGAATGACCATCGGTTGCATAAATAAGCTGATTCAGCAAAGAATACTTTCCTTTGCGAAAGCAGCAGCGGGGCTTATTGGCTGATGAGCACGAAATGAAAAGATTACAATAGAGCATTACAATCTCTAAAGTAGGACGATAGACATCCTCAGGAAGAGATAAAGGAGGTGACCTAGACTCATTATAAATAAGGTAGTCGTTAAAAAATGCAAGGTCAATTGTTCTATTCAAATGATTAAAAATTGAATTGATTTGAAACAACGAAAGATCAAGCATGTAGTCTATAAAATCGTGCTGTGCTGAGGGCACTAGATAATTTTCAGCAGTAAATAATGACCAAGAGATGTTCGGCAAATTAAAATCACCCAACACCATTAATAGGTCATTATCACGCACTTGTGAATTAACTTCTTTAATATAAGTAATATGTTTCATATAAATTTGAATATCAGAAGAAGGTGGGACATAAGAGCATGTTACATAGATATTCCGTGTAGGAAAAGACACCTTAACTGAGACAATCTCAGCGTCAGTAGGCGTACTAGAACAGAATAGTTCAGACTGTAGTGTGGCTTTAACGGCAATTAACACCCCACCACCTCGAGTCGGCCGATCATTTCTATACAAAATACAGTTATTCGATAAAATCTCAAAATCAGATATGGTTTAGTTTAACGATGTTTATGAAAACGCTATTATATCCGAATCGAAGGAAGTGCTGGCCATGAAAAGATTTTTAAGCTTTGAAATGAGACCTCTGACATTCTTATAATGAATAAAGATTTGGTCAGAAGATGAAGCTAGTTTTTTGGGGCAGAAATGGTACCCTGTATTGAAGGGAATGGAAGGCTGACAGGCTGGTTACGCTTTTTAGGCTTGCAATCGTGAGCACTCATGTGTGGAGGCCAAAATTTGGGATCACAAATGATTGGGAACATATCATGTGAAAAATTTATTTTGAATGATGATATTTCAAGAGGGGTGGAGAAGTTAACTTTGGTTATTGACACGCTAGCAGAAGATTTGCTAGCAATATAGGCTGCCAATGACTCAGAAATGGTGTCCAACGAAAGTCGAGACACAAAAACTTGCCCACGAGGGGCAACTACAGTTAAGGTAGGCGCTGATGGGGCTGAAGGTAACACAGGAGTTGGAGGAGCTAAAGAGGCACAATGATTGTTTTTAACAATCTGGGCAAGATTGCGCGCAGGTCTACCTTTGCGGCCAGGAGCCGACGGGGCTGAGGCAGTTTGATTAACTGGGACGAGATCA